CAAATAAATATCAGCAGAAATGAGAGTTGGGCCTCAAATCTTCCTAGAAACTCCTTTCCACATCGCTAGCCAGGCTTTCCCCCACTGCAGTGTCCTTCTTCTAAACGTTGACGCTCCCTAGCAACCATGTTCATCATCGATTCCAATTGGATTGGTCCAAAATTCAACTTGTGTACTGACCTCCTCACTAAGTGTCCTTATCTCAGTTAACATTATGAATTCCTAGCATCTGAAATCAATTATGAGAGTCATCCCCAGCCACTAATATATTCCATACTTGTAATCTTGGCATTTAGCAGACTGAGGCAGGAGAATCACCAATTCAAGGTCAGTCTAAACCATAAAGCAAGTCCCAGGCCTAGTTCAGAGTAAGAACTCTATCAAAAAAGAAAGTCATCCTAATTCTTCCTTTGTTTTTTTTTCTCTAACATCAGTCAATCACCATCTCCTCTCAACTCCATCTTCTTCCACCCATCAGTGTCTTCATCCTTCCCTTTGGACCACTGTTCTAACCTTGTAGTTGACCTTATTAATTCATTTCAATTTGATATTTCTCTCTGTTTTTTACTTAGGATTCATTCCAAACTCCTTAGCCTAGCACATGAAACTAAACACAAACCAGCCCCTGTCGGGACGTGACAATTCCCTAAAGATTATAACAGAAAGTATTTTGATTTTTACATTTATTTAGCATCATGTCTTCCACTTTGGGAGTTTAACATAGAACATTTGACATGGTAACCATACAGGTTCAATAAGGGAGTAAGTCAAATTTGTGTCATTGTCCAGACAATAAACAGGGGTTGCAACTGTGGTGAGAAGGGGAAATTACCAGGGATATATTTATTTAAATAACACAGCTTTTGCTCTCATGGGATATAACACCTGTTTCTGTAATTAATAGTCCTTTATACACCTCAGTGGTAACAGAGACAGACAGTACCCTATCTCCGACTTACTTAGCTTTTAACACTTGATTATCCCCTGCACCAGATAATGATGGTATAGTCCTAGGGTCTCCAGATGAAAGTAAAGGATTACTCACTCAAAATTAAAAGTTAAAATAATGAGCTTAATATAGAACAAACTTTATTTTATGTAAGATAATAAATATCCTGAAGCGACACCCAGGGATGTTAGGCATTAATTATTTTTTAAATCATCCAATTACACATAATTTCATGCTAATCTAAATGATGCCATTTTTCTTTTGGCAGACATCACTCAATTAGAATGCCCCCCAATAGTCGTGTATAAAAGCTCAAAGAAACCATCAGCAGGAGCTGCTCTGTTCTCCTTTGAATCTCCAGCTACTCTCAGACAAGTGAACCTTTCTCCTGGCACCATGTCCCTCCGGTTCTCTGGTGGATCCAGGCACCTTTGCTTACCATCTGGATCCGTCAGACCTCCCAGCGGAGGCGCAGGCTTTGCTGGCAGCAGCGCGGGTGGCAATTCTGTTGCTGGAAGTGGATTTTCCTGGGCCTTGGGAGGGGCACTGGTCAGTGCTCCTGGCGGGGGCCATGCTGATGGTACCCTGGGAAATGCTGCTGGTGTTGGCTTTGCTGGGAGTGAAGGGAGTCTCCTCTCTGGGAATGAGAAAGTCACCATGCAAAATCTTAACAACCGCTTGGCATCTTACCTGGATAACGTGAAAGCTCTGGAGGAGGCAAATGCTGAATTAGAGAGAAAAATCAAGAGCTGGTATGAGAAATATGGGCCAGGATCTTGCCGTGGACTTGATCATGACTACAGCAGATACCACCTAACCATCGAGGATCTTAAGAGTAAGGTAAGAAATCACAAACTTGGAACTAGCCAAAGTATTTAAAACTAAAGAATTTCTGGCAAATGGGGCAAACAGCTCCAACACGAAATGCTTCATGACTGTTCCTGTACTTGTAATTCATCTTAATAAATAATTCTTCCCATTACTCACAATTAGACACTTTGATTCATGAATTTCAATGTAGCTAAAATGTTAATTCCATTGTTTATTTTGAAACATAGTCACAGATATTATATTCTGAAAATAATACTATATATTTTTAACATCTTGACCTTTTCTAAATGCATTTTTTTATTTATTTGTATTTCATGTATGAGAGTGTTATGCCTACATGTATGTAAGTGCATCCATGTCATCCAGTACCTGAGGAGGACAGAAGAGGGTGTTGGATCCCCTGGAACTGGAGTTACAGATGGTTGTCAACTGCCATGTGGGTGCTGGGAATTAAACCCAGGTCCTCCGCAAAAGCAGCCAGTGCTCTTAACCACTGAGCCATCTCTTCAACCCCTCTCTATTTTTAAAAAAATCATTTCTAATTATTTTGATAATTTCATAAGTAAGAAATTGATGCAAAGGTTTAATTAATGTTTTCTTGAAATAATAAATAATAAAAGCAACGTCATTTCTGTTAACCTCTTTTTTATTTCCTCCAGATTATCTCTTCCACAGCTGCTAATGCCAATGTAATTCTGCAAATTGATAATGCCAGACTGGCCGCTGATGATTTCCGGCTAAAGTAAGTGATAGATAACAATCGTGTTCCAAGAAGGGTCTTATCTATTTAGTTTGTTGAATAAAATTTCCATTTCATCCCAAGTAGAATAAACTATAACCTTAAGATGAAAGGAACCAAAGTACTTCCATTACAATACTACAATCAACTAGAGTCATAATTTATATATTGATTACATTCATGGGCCAAAATATTTACATAGCTCGTGCCTGCTTAAAACAATGCTAAGCACAAAATAGATGCTTAGTAACCAGTGCTCCTCTGAGTAATAATGTTAACTTAGATAAAATTACAAAGTAGAATATCTTTATTTGTGTTATGTTATTGGAATTTGAGTGCTTGGATAATTAATTGCTAATTGTCTTGTATAGAACTGGAAGGGAGGGGTCTTCTCTACGTATTGTTTGTGTTGTGTTGTATTGTATTGTATTGTATTGTATTGTATTGTACTGTGACAGGATTCTTGTATTTCTTTCTTAATTTCTCCTTTGACCCACTCAGTGTTTAGGAGTGTGTTGTTCAATCGCCACAATTTCATGTAGTGACAAGGGCTTCTTCCAGTACTGATTTTGAGCTTTATTGCTTTGTGGTCCAATAGAATGCATGGAATTATTTCAATATTTTTATATTTGTTGAGGTTTTTTTGTGGCCTAGTATGTGGTCAAATTTTGAAAATGTTCCATGGTATGCTGAGTAGAAAGTGTATTTTTTGGTGTTTGGGTGGAATAATCAAAAGATGTCTGTTAGGTCCAT